TATATATATATATATATATATATCTCAAGGATTACGAACATTTTAGGGGAAGGGGGAAACTTCAGATAAAATATCCGGTATTCACTTTTGGACGTTCATTTGTTAGTTCTCATATGACTAACAAATTCTCTTGAAATCTTTTTCATTTTTTAGTATAATGTCCTAAACATTGTGTGCCTTATAACAAGCAAATAACATGGTGTGACATAATGGATCATTACATCCTTGTTATTTGCCAACAAAGATAACATGATCACTGTATCGCTTGTTGGAAGGCACACATTAATGTCTCATATATGTCTCTGGAAATTCAGTATTAAGGATTATCCTAAGGATTTCTTGTATTGTTAGGGAAATTATCTATTTTTAGGAGACGTTAAAAAAACATAATATATACACTTTCAAATGTTTCATCTTTTTTATAATATTTTATTGCATTTATAAATGTATATACTATGTACAGCTATATTCCCTAAGTAAATATAGAATATCTATGGCATTCATATTTTTGAGAAAAATGCATAAATGTGCAATGATCATTAACATTTAAATTTATAAATAAATTATTATTATTGTATATACATAGATGTATTTTGATGTGACTCAATATGTTTAATATGTATTATATTTGTGTCTGTGACGCTGGTCACACCTTATATGGAAAGCTCGCTCGCCAAGGCGGCGTGTAATAATGACTCTCTTTGTTGTAATAATTCAAAATTTATTGTTGAGTCGAATTAAGATTTGTTCGAAGAGAGCGATAAGCGATGCTCGTAATTCGATAATTGATGCGTTCGGTTAGATGCGTGCACAGGTAATTCGCACTTGATACGACGTCGAGTAATTTCTCACAGCCGTTCGAAAGAAAGTATATTGCGAGCACCGGTAAATCTCGCCGGAGATTCAAGTAATTTTTGCGCACTGAATATCCTCGCAGTACGCGTATACCGAGAACGTTACGTGATAAAAATACAACGTTAATACGCGACGGAACTTCGGTGTGGTTCATACTTAATATTCGGAATAAGAAGCGTTAAGAATAAATAGCAATAGATGATCCGTATTGATCGAGAAGCGAACTGAACTTTCGCACGCGGAACGTGTGCGCGATCGTCAATTTTTCGAGTGTCGCACAAGGGGGAGAGGTCGCGTGCCATCTAAGATGATTAGGACAGAAGCCAAATATACTCGTGTTTTGAACAAAATGTCGGCAGAAAACGTGATTGAACAAAGACGGTTCGGTGTCTATGAGCTGTTTACTTACCGTCTTCGAGAATATATTTAAATTAATGATTCCAAAACATATCGCCCGCCTCGAATGGGCATTCGAAAGAATTCGCATCAAAGCACGCAAGATGCAATAATAATATAACAACAAAAATGAGTTAATACAGAATACAAAGAACGCAATACAATCGAAGCTTACGGTTTGTGATAACATCAGGTACGTCCAACGGAAATTCCGTGACGGAATCTTTATTCTTCGATATTGATTGTGACGGGTAGAAAACAAAGTTTTACAATTGGTCGCCTGTACTCGGAACGATTTGTTTTTATAGTTACGACGCGAGTTAAATCGTCATCGGGATGACACGCTGTGATCCGACTAAGTTTCCATTAGCTCGATGGAACCAGAGGATTATGCATGAGGACGATTTGGCTGACTTTGGTCAGTAGTTAAACAATGCGCCATTTTGGGTGTTGAAGAATATGCAAAGTAGTCACCAGATCAAAACCTTCCAAAAACTTCCAAAAATCTTCAGTTATTTGTTGAATCATTTGTCAACGAAAGTTTTTTCATTTAAGTCAAGCATGCTTGGTTCGGTGGGAGCGATAAGAAAGAATCCGACCAAAAAATGATCGGGGGTCAGAGCGTGATAATCGTCGAGATTATCGGAAATAGGAGCGATCGGGCGTGAATTAAAGCACGCTTCGATCCGACAGAGGAGCGTGGACATTTCTTCAAAAATTAATGTGAGGTCGATGCAGCGTTTTAAATGATGAACATTTTTAACGCCGGCTTCCCACAGGCCGCCGAAGTGCGGCGACGCAGGGGGTAGGAAGTATCACACAATTCCGTCTGTAGCGAGTCGGTTTCGGAAGTTAGAATCCCGAATTGCTTTTGCATGTGCGTTGGACAATTCGCGATCGGCACTGTGAAACGGGGTTCCATTATCGGAATTCATGAACATCAGTAGTCCTCGGCGAGAAACAAATTATTGCTACACTGCTATAAAGGTAGGAGAGGTATAATCGCTGACAAGCTCTAAATGTAGAGCTTTGGCTATGAGACATATGAATAAAGATATAGGCCTTTTGCGATTTATGCCCTCGACGGGGAGTCGTTCGGACAGCGATTGGATTTGCGTAATCAACGTCGGTATGGACAAAGACGCGAGCATTGCGATTGACTCTCGCAGCCGGGAGGTCGCCCATGAACGACGTCGGCGCATTCACGCGTGCATAGTATGTACTTGTAAAGAAATCGAACGCGGGCCCGAAAAATCGAGAATTCGTATCGCAATGACGCGAGTTAAAAACCGGCAACGTTCGAAGATGATAGTGATGGATAATGAATACTAATAGCGGGTACGCGTGTAAGACGATGGGATTCCTCGTCGCTTCTGGGAGGCAAACTCGACAGAGTCTTCCTTGAATACGAATAAGTCCAGCCTCATCCATATAAGGATTGAAAACAAAGAGCGGACTGTTCTTCGGTACGAGGCGCTTATGTTTTAGAACCGCGATCTCATCAGGAAATGATTGATTGCATGGTTTTGAATCAGTAGCGTTTGACGTTCTGAATTTATTCGCTTGCGAGTTTTAGAGTATCAGAATCAATTTAGAAAAAGATGATTCGCTTTGCATAATGGTCACAAGAACGGAATGGTAGACGCGGTATACAAGGCGAGAGTTTTCCTTTTGGAGGTCATCTGTGACTTCTCCGTTGCGTTCGCGGGTGCAATCACGTCGAACGCGCGAATGCGAGATGCGAGATTGATTCGATAACGCGGATAATCATCGCCGAGTTTAAATTCCCAAGTTTTTCGCAACTTATCGAGTTTTTGTGCAACTAGAGAAATAAGTCTATCATCCCAATGTTCAGTAGCGCAATCGAGATTGCTCAGAGCTTGTATCGCTTTATTGATGTGATCGCGAAGCGTGCGAAGATCATTGGAGGTTTCTGTCGTGAGCAATAAATTGAAAAGCGATTGTAAATGTATCGTAATAAAGCGACATTTATTATCTGGGAATATT